TAAAAATTTAAATTTAAAAAATTTACTAAGTTATAATGTTAAGAAAATAATGTAATAAGTTATAATTATAATAAATATTAAATTTCAATTTAACAAAATAATTCATTATAATTATAAATTATTAAATATAATAATTATTATAAATATAACTTATTAAATTTATTGTTTATTATATATTTTAATTTCTTTTTTTTATTAAAATAACTTAAACCTAAAATGCAAAAATAAAAAGAGTCAAAAACGCTACTTAGAATTCAATTGTCCGACGAATTCAAGCAGCGAAAATGAGCGGCACTTGCGGTGGAGAAACTTGAAATTCGGTTTTTGAAAAACTAAATTCCAAGCTGAACAATGAACAATGCTAGTCTTGTAAAAAAACTCCCACAGATGTTGTTTGGATAATTTTTTTTTAAAAAAATAATATTCTAGTAAAAAAATTCTTAAAAAGTCTCCGATTATATAACCTAACTAAGTTACATGCAATTTACTAATTTTTGAAAAACTGATAATTAAATTAAGGAGAATCCTTGGGTGCCCTTTGTGAATAGAGGGTTTTGGTGCCCTCTGTACGGACAGCGAATGAGGTGATGCCACGTGTTCGTTAACTCCATGTCATCCACCGTGTTGAAAGTTTGACCAAAGATTGGGTAATTTGATTGATCCGCCCCTGCCCCATGATCCAACAAACCAACCCGGGTCCCCTCTTTTGTCCAATTTGTAAATGCATGCCACCTCATTTTGTTTGCATTCAAACGTGGCTCCATCTACTTCTCTCATTCGAAGGTTCGTATTTCCCTGTTTCGTTCAGTCTCTTGTTGGCTCCATCTTCTTCTCTTTAAGGCAAGGTTGTTTCCCTTCCTATCCCCGTGTTTCGTTGCATGAGTTGTTGTATCTCCATTTCCATGTTTTCCTTTCGTGTTTCGTTGGATCCGGTGTTGTATGTCGATTTCCATCTTGTCCTCGTGCATGTTGTTCTGTATTGTGTGTTTTTGGTTGTGTTTGTTTCCATTTGAAAACCTTGCAGGTTGTTGTTGTCATGAAAGGTTGTGTCGATTTCCATTTGAAATCGATTTGTCTAATAATTAAATGTGATAAGTTATATTTTGGCGTATTATAGCCTTGTTTAGCTTGTGTTACTACTTGTAACCTTCATGCAGTGTAGGATTGTTAGTATTGAATGTTGAGAAATTTAAGTTTCAAAAGAAAAACCGAGTTGAACTAAATAGTTGTGTTGCATTGAATTTGGAGTATTATTGACTGTGTTTGGGATAATGTTTATTTTGGTGAAATATATGAATGAAATATATATGAATGTTATTTTAGTTTTTGTTGTAGTTTTTCGGGTAATAAATTTGTTATATTTTATAGTTGTGAAATGTGTGATTACATATGGATAATTTATATAATATAAATGTTAGTGAAACAAATATGTTACGCGAATAATGTTTAATCTTTTTTCATTAGTTGATTAAGTAATTTTGTAATGCAGATGTCTAACCTTAATGACGAAGGGTTTGTTAATTTAGATGATGAGAATGAAATGAATGTTTCAAATAAAAATGCATCAGATGAAGAAAGTAGTGGAAGTGATGTCGGTTTTGGTAATGAGGAAGATGATGTGCATATTGATAGTAATGATAATGAATACAAAAGTTTAATGGATTTGACTGTAGACGACATATTGGGTTTGAAATTTGGTAGTGAACATGATGCATATAAATTTTACTTTGCATATGGTAAATTTCATGGTTTTGGGATTAGGAAGGATGACATTGGTCATGATGCAAATGGAAAAATAGTAATGCGTCAATTTTTATGCAATAAAGGGGGCTTAAGAGACAAAAAACATCTTATGAGAGATGATAGAAAAAAGGGGCATAGGCCTCTTAGTCGTACTAATTGTAAAGCAAAACTTCGTGTACGGGTTGATCCAAAGACAAGTAAATGGAAAGTTGTGTCATTTGAGGAAGGTCACAACCATGAGATGTGCCACTCAAATTATGTGCCATTCATTAGGACTTATCGTGGATTGTCAAGTACTGATAAGGGTCAAGTTAATTGTTTGCATGAACATGGGGTTAGAGCATGCCATATAATGGGATACATGATGGACCAAAAGGGAGGTCATTTAGGCATTGGGTTTAATAAGAAAGACCTTTTTAACCACATTGAGCGATATAGACATTCTAAAATCCAAGATGGGGATGTTTTGGCTGCCTTAAGTTATCTTCAAGGCAAGGCTGATAATGATCCAATGTTTTATGCTAAATATATGTTAGGAGACAATGGAAAAATGGAACATTTGTTTTGGGCTGATGGTACTAGTAGGTGTGACTATCAATGTTTTGGCGATGTTGTTGCATTTGATAGTACCTATAAGAAGAACAAATACAACAAGCCTTTGGTAATATTTTCTGGAAAAAATCATCATGGGCAAACTGTTATTTTTGGTGCTAGTTTGATTTCTGATGAAACCACCGATACTTATAAGTGGGTGTTAGAAGCTTTTTTGGAAGCTATGTCTCTTCAGCAGCCTAAGGGGGTAGTGACAGATGGTGATGGGGCTATGAGGGAGGCAATTAGGCAAGTATTTCCTATGGCAACACATAGACTTTGTGCATGGCATCTACAAAAGAATGCTTGTCAGAATGTGAAGAATTGCAAATTTTTAGCTGATTTTAAAAAGGCAATGTATGGTAAGTTTACCCCTGAAAAGTTTGAAACATTTTGGAAGGAAATGGTTAGCAAAAACCAGGTTGAAGGAAATAACTGGATTTTGCAAATGTATGAAAAAAGGTGTATGTGGGCAAATGCTTATCTACGAGATAAATTTTTTGCTGGTATTAAAACGACGTCTTTGTGTGAAGGAGTAAATAATTTTATTAAAACTTATGTCAGGAGGAAAAACAGCATGGTTGAGTTGTTGCATAATTTG